TTATCAATCCGAATGAAAGTTTATCCTCAATGAAAAGACTCGAAGAAATGATTTGTCATTAAATTCTGATAATTTAATCATTGGAAATCTGATCCTCAAAGGTTTATTGTCAAACATAAGCCCTAGAGAGATGTTTATTTGAAACAATATAGTCAATAATTTGTGAGGTATCTAAAAATCCCATTTCCAGAACTATTCATGAGTGGGCAAAATCCCTATGGAAGCTGATCATTGTCCTTCATCTACCGATAAACTGATTGACTGTTGAAGGTCTCAATCTAAATGAGAATGAATCTCCAATTCTGTTATTAAACTAACTATTAATGATACAATTTGATGTAATTAGTAAATTTTTTTTAGATTTTACAATAACCTGTGAGGATAAATTATGTTGATCAAAGCTACATAGAAATAAAAGTGTCTTGAATTTTTATATAAAGTTCAGATTCTGATAGTTAACATTTCAGATCATCAATACAAACATAACAACTTATTGATATTTATAATATCAAATTTGAACAAATTATAACTCGACTAAAGATTCAATCTAAAAAAGTGTTTCGGTTAATAAAGCGAGAAGAGATATTCAAAAACGAAAATTTTCCTTATGAATTCATTTGTGACAAAAGTTCGAGCAATCAGAGAAATTGCTCGTCCGAGTTTTTATAATTGTCATGATCATAATTCGAAATAATTAAATTCATAAATTCGGAGAAAAAGTCTCAAAATCTACATTTATCTCAAGTTACACCTTTCATTGGATCGCTGTACTTATTAAAATATAATTCTCAATGTTGAATCAATGAATTTCTCCTGATTCTGATATACAGGGGTAGAGATAAACATTTAAGCCAAATGGAAATTGGAATTGAAACAAAACCGATTGATTAAGAAATTTTATTTTATTTAAATTGTTTTCCTCGATTCTTAATCAATCTAAATACACGTTTTGGCCACTTCGAACGGCTCATTCTAAACACTCTGAATACCGCTTTGCAAACCGTTCAAAGTTCGAACTCTTTTTTCGCCAATTGGGTTTTCGTGTATTCCCAAACGAAATAGTCCATTAGTACAATGTTGGGAGAGAATGGAATCCACCGATTGGGTTTAATGTATAAAATATTTTTCGATTTGAGAAATTCTTGAGTTTTTTTGCGAACCATGAGAAGGGCAGAGTCTTGGTGAAAAATCGCATCTTCTCCAGGGTTAAGACAAGGAATATCTTCTTCAAGCATAGGTTTCAAAATAGAATGGATGTAAGAAACAGAATTTATTTTCACGCTGCTTCTAACGAACCTCAATTCCAATTTACCATGATAAGAAATCGCTTCCCATACCATCGATAGAAACTTGGTTGAACGAATTTGCCGGTACATAGATATTAGATTATGCACTGAAAATGATTCATTGAAAGGCGAAAAAATTCTCAACAAATTATCGAGAAATTTTGAACCTCAGTTGGGCCTCTGGACCTGGAGTTTGTGACTTTATATTATAAAGTTTATAATACATAGGGTTAAAGTAATATTTGTCACCACTATTAATGCTCATTAAGTTAGGATCTGAGTACCTTTACTTTTCAATTTTCTCGTCTTTCTATTATTCTCTTGTAATAATATTTCATCTTCAAACAAAGCTACACAATAAGATGAAATGATTTGCATAAAAAAAGCATAGAAAAAAGATCAGAATGAGTCAAAAACAGTGTTATTGTTTTTTGGTCGCCCTTGTTATCTGATAGATCATCTTGGTGAGCATTAGGTAAGTAAGAAAATTCAGTTGATCCAGGATAATAGTTAGAAAAACCGAAACAAAAATGTACGGGAGCTCCTGGAACCTTAAAAATACGCTCATATTTGTATTGATTACTACGGCGAGTCAAACTTTGTTTACACCAGCACCAGTGATAGTCATAAAGATTGTCTTTAAGGAGCTCAGGATTTTCACAGCCAACCTGTTCCAAATAATCGGTAGGTAAGAATACTGGTATATCTCCATCCCAGCATACTTTTGGGTGCACTAGAATGGGTGCAAAGTCAACAACCAATACTTAAGAAGAAAATTTTCGTGAAGAAAAAGTTTAAAATTCGAAGCGCATATCAGTTATCATTAAGAACTTAATGTTTTGAGAATGAATTGATTCAACATTTATAATAGTTTATTCTAGTGATGATTATGCTTGAGTGTTAATAAAAATTTTCAAGGACGATCGCAACGATAACATTCAAACGTCGAAACACTTTCTGATACCTAATCCATTACTTACCCTTTGGGATGAGCTTCACGATAAGATAAAGATCTTAGCTCTCAGATTCTCTCACTTCTACCATTCTTATTATTTCATTTTCCATTAACTTTTTCGTCCGATTGATAAAAGTTTCGGATCTCTTTTTTTGGTTCCAACCTTTTAATCAACACAAAGTTACCGAAGTTATAAACTCGTAACACAAACTGTGTGAGTCGCGGTCCTTTGAATGAACACATGAAATTTCATTATTAATAAATTATTTATAAATTTCAAGAGGCATTTTAATGTATCAGTTGACTGTGAACAAAGTTCGTTTAATGGATGTTAAAACTACCCGGTCAAGTAACGGGGCAGATACGATGATTGAAGAAACTTTGAAACTGAATACTAATCATGATACTTAAGTTACCATGATATGAATTGGTTAGAATTCGTATTGAGCCGTCAAGCGAATCATATAATATTTATAATGAACTCTCGTCTTGATAAGAGATAAACTATCGAGTTAAAGTTTCCATTGGGCTATTGAGTAGCGTTAATTATGTGTTTATAATAACTGCAATTAGACTTGATTGCTGAATGATTGTTAATGTGTTACCGTCATTTTAAATCACTGAGGAAATTGTGTTTCTTTAATTGACATTTGACATTTAATATGCGACTTTTTTTTCAAACAATTCACAATAAACACCAAAACGATCAGATTAGTGTGCTTATGTGTTAATCAAATGGTAACAATTAAAATATCAAATGGACAAAAAAAGTGTCAACAAGTAGATATAAAAAAAAGTATTGAATTGAAGTGAATGAAAATTGAGGTTAATCAAAAAGAAACCAAATCAAATTAACAATCGGCAAGTTGGTTGATAAACTTTTTTTTGCATCGAAAGTTAAATCACATAATTTAATTTAGATGTGAAAAAATTACAACCATTTAAACGACTGAACATTTAATTCGTATATCGATTCAATCATTTTCATTGTTTTTAATCATTTAGTTGATTTTTTTTCTCTCTTTCTCTTTCTCTCTCTTTCTCTATCTCTCACAATTTCTCTCTTTCTATCTCTTTCTTAATATGTACAATTAAGAAAGACACAAGATGACAATTTAATTGTGAAAGTTTATCGTAGTATATAAACTGATCGTATTGATTGTAAACATCAGATCATCCAACGATTTCAAAGTGTAAACAACAACAATAAACAACAAATCTAAAAGTTTTATTAAAGTGAAAGTGATTTGATTGAATTCAATTGAATTTCTCAAACTAGAATTAATCATGAGGAGCTTTAGTTTCATCTGTTTAGTTATATTTTTATCCAGTTCTTCATGGGCCGATCCACTTGGTAATTTAGTGAATTCAATCAGTCCAGAGATTGATTCTCGCAATGGATTAGTACACATTTCAGCTATTCAAAGAGCAATTCAACCAATTCCAGCCGCTGGTTGGGGTGATCATGGTCATGGTCATGGTTGTAAAAACGAAGGTAAAAAGTTAATTAATCAAACTTCAAATAGGTTGATCACTTTGATCATTTTGATTCATTTTGATCACTTTGATCACTTTTATTCATTCTAGTTGTACAATATTAACATTGATTCATTAATAATAATATTAACAGAGGTTCATCATCACCATCATCATCATCATCATGCTAAAATGGTTGCCACTCATCACCACGATCATGGACATAAACACGGTCATGATCACGGTCACAAACATGGACATGATCATGGACACAAACACGAGGCTTGGCATCATCATGGTCACAAACATGGTCACCACCATGGACACAAACACAGCCACGGTCACCATCATGGTCATGGACACAAACACGATCATCATCATGGTCACAAGCACGGTCATGATCATAAACACGGCCATGGACACAAACATGACCATTGGCATGGACACAAACACGGACATGACCACAAACATGGCCACGGACACAAGCACGATCACTGGCACGGACACAAACACGGTCATGGTCACAAACACGACAACTGGCATCAACATGGACACAAACATGGACATGACCACAAACACGGTCACAAACACGATCACGGACACAAACACGTAAGCTCATAATCAACACTTTCCATCCCAATTCAATCCTCAAATCTAACCAATACTTTTCCCTTTGCTCTTTACCCTTTCACCTTTCTAGGAACACGGATGGCACGGACATCACGGTCACCATGGTCATGGATGGCATTAAATGGTCAAACTATTCCGTAAATAAACAAAGTAAATTAAAAGACAATCAAGTCAATTATACAAACATATCAATTAATTTAGTCATCGATTGGTACAACAATTGGCAACTAATTATAATTTTGATTTTCCAACGATGTTCACATCTCATCAATGGCATCATGAATTCGCGTTCGTCTCTCCAAATGTAATCAGATTTTGAAACTTTTATTTACACTCCCGATGTATATAAACTTTGTACATTAATTACTTGGTATCATTTTGGTTAAATAAAACAATTTGCAATTAAACTTTCAGAATGATTTTTAAAAACCCGACTTGTAAAAGTTTTCAACTTTTACAATTAAGGTAATTAATTTAGTAACCATTCATAATACAATGTAACTTATTGTTTGTTAGAATAAGCGAATCGATGATTTTGAGCCAACAATTAAAATCGATTGAGATTTGTTTTGGCTTAAAAGGAAACCATAGAAACCGATTTCTGGACAATATCTTTTCAGCAAGTTTTGTGTTCAATTGCGATTAGTTAATTGGTGTTTTTGATTGTTGTCATCATGGATTTGGATCCAATCAAGAATGAAATCGAAGAGGATGACGAAGAAGAGGAAGAGGAAGAAGAAGACGAGGAGGAAGATGAAGGTGAAGATGATGAACGAGCCGAAATCGCTGGGTATGTATTCAAGTCCATTTTTTTCTCTGTTTAATTCACTATTTCATCTGAATTTTTTTCATTCCATTCTAAACAATTAGTGCTTATGATCCACAGGAATTTAAAGATTTAAAAGTATCGACAGAAATTAAGAATCTATTCAACTACATTACACTGTATTCACCACAAATGATTGACTTAGAATTGAGATTGGAACCTTTTATCCCTGATTATATTCCTGCAGTTGGCGACATTGATGGATTCATCAAGGTTTGCTCATTGATTGATCCAATTGAAAAGAGCCAAAATTTGTTGATTATGCCTTGTTTTGTTATTAACAATTAGGTTCCACGACCTGATAGGGTTGATGATACTTTAGGTTTAACCGTAATCGATGAGCCATCTTCTCGTAATCAATCAGATCCAACGCTTTTGAATTTAAAGCTCAGGGCTATGGGTAAGGAGGTGACGCTCATTCAACCTTCTGGATCTGAGACGGTGAAAAATGCTAATTCAATTAAGGATGTTGATTCGTGGATTGAATCAATTCGTCTCCTCCACGAAACAACCGCTTCCGTTTCCACCAATATACCGCTTATTTCATCAGCTCGTTTACCTGATCTTGAACAATTGATGCAGGAATGGGACCCAAACGTTGAAACTGCTCTCGCTAAGTTCAATTTACCAATGTCGGAATTGGATGTTACTTTGGATCAATATGTTACAATTATCTGTGGTCAGTATTGAGTGATTACATTTTTAAGGTTCACCTTTGATTAACTGGTTATTTTTCCGTTCCAAATTATAGCTTTACTGGATATCCCCATCCATCGGTCGAAAATCGCTTCGTTACATTTACTTTTCAATCTTTATTATGAATTTCAAAATTCTCAGGTAATTTCATCATTGATTGGATTTGCATTTTCTTAATTCCTGGCTTGTTTCTCTTTCAGCATTTCAAACAAATATGATTAAACCACCGGCAAACTGGAAATATGTTACCTGGCAATCCACAACTCCCATGTTATCAATGAGATTCACATTTAACTCGATTGTAAAAGAATAGCTTAATTGAGTTCTCAATACAACATCCACCAATAAATGAACAATTATATTTGATTTGATAATCTTAGAGGATCATTCAGATTCAGAAAGAGTAACTTCATCCGGAGTTCGTGAATATCCAGTTGGATCATTAATCTCTGACTCGTAATTCATGGCAGTCAATGAACAAAGTAACACAGGTTTTATATAGCATACAAAACACATCTTATTTCCAGTCCTTAAAATATGGAGATCAACCAATATTAATAGATATTAACCATACGATAAATTATTCCAACTAATAATGATTCTATTGGAAAGTCCAAAATAAGACACAAAGACCCAAGCCATTAGTAAGAATATTAAGTCTTCTAAGGAAAAATCTTTGACAATCTGGACCGATTGGTATAAAAATCATGGTCCAGGCAGTGAAGGCTTACACAAAGCAGAAGATAATCCATAAGCACCATATAATCCAACAATACCAGCAGTAAAATGAGACACCACTGACATCAATGTTTACAATAATCCAATAGAATAACATTAAACCTCATAGCACCAATAAGAGTGTTTCAATCTCCATCCATAATTACCCGTTTTCCAAATGAACTTCACCTTCTATTTACACTCTCAAAATCAGGTTACCTTGACAAAAGTGAAATGACAATAAAAAAAACTGCAGAACATAATATAAAATCAATTAAATCAAGTTAAATTATTCCAAGAAAAAAATTAACCGGTAAGCATTAGGGAAGAAAACAACCAAACAGAATTTTTTCTGTTTACTTTTCTGTTGCTAAGCGACTGAGAGTTTTGACCAGATTTTCCTCTTTCTTTTTACTCTTTGTTTGGGTCTGAAAAATGTTCCATCCAATTAATTAAATTGTTTCTCTCCATTTTGTTTATTTGTTGATGACACTTTTTCCAACCAATTAATTAAACTTTTAATGAATTCTCTAGTTAATCATCCCCAGGAAGAGCTTTAAATCAACTAAATTGGATTCGATTGATCAATTGGATCTATTTCATCAAATCGGGTGTAAACCGGATCCAGATCGGTACTTGGTTTGTTTCTCATTCTCTTTTCTGTTTCAATTCAACTTCCATGTGATAAATAATATTGGTTAACCTGTCAATTTGTTTTCTTCTTCTTCTATTAATTTTGGTTCACATTTTCCTAACTAACATTTTCTTTTATTCTCTCGTATTGATAGATTTTTAGCTCTTGTCAATTTCTGTTGTGTACTTTTCTTTTTCTCTATCTCTCTATCTGCCTCTTTTCATGTGCCACTTGAGAATCTTGTCTTTTTCCATGTAATTCATATCATCACTTTCTTAATATTTTCCTCACTTGTTGTCAATGAACATTTTGATTATACAATTGTTTCCCTTTTCCCCTTATTTTATTTCTTTTTCTCTCTATCTCTCTTTAACTCTTTCAAAACAACAACATATTCTGCTGTTACATTCTCACTTCTATTTTGATCGCCATCATCAGTTTTTTTCTCTTGTGTTTGTTATTATTATTGTTCTTTTACCTGTTCTGTTTCTCCTACTCACTATTTTACTCTTCTCTCATCTTTTCTTATTTTCTTCTCAACAGACGAGATGGGCTGTAAGCTCTCTTGCTGTGACTCATCCACTGAAACAAGTCCATCGAGAGTTAGTAAGAGAGCTAAAAAGAATTATCGTTTTGTATTGAACAATGATAACTATGCTCGATGTAAAATTGAAGAGGAAATTTCATCAAGCAATTTACAACATATCTCAGAACGGGAAACAGCAGAAGATCTGGAATCTGATCCATCTACACATCCAACCATTGGACCTTTATTCATACAACGATCTAGAAGTGATATGAGATGTACGTTCTTCCCTCTCTCTCCCTCTCTCTTCCTTTCCCTCTTTCTTAGTGTTGTTTTCATAAAATGCAATCCAACTAAGCAAACAACATGACCCATCGATACTCAACCACCACATCCACACACACAAACAGTAGACCAGTGCTCATAAACGGCTGCCGTGTGTTCAGCATCAATCAATCAATTTTAAGGAGAGACAGTCCTTAGAAAGTTTTCAGACTGATTAGATGGACTTGTTAATGAATGGTGGTAGTGATTAAAAGCAAATATACTGATAAAAATCACGATTTCTTCAATATTGATAAAATTTGGAGCACTGGTCGACTCTGTGTGTGTGTGAAAACTGTTGACACAAACTCACATTTAACTCTCTTTTCCTCCTTTCTTTTTCATTAATCCAGGTCTAAAAGAAAGGCGCAAAAGCCAGCTAATAGTAAGTATTGATATATAATTTCCTTCCTCTTCACTAATTACTTAATTATTATAAAATCTCATTTCTCTCCCTCTTTTCTTAATTTCAGGTTTTAGAATCTAGGCCTCTAAAAAAATCGAGCTCTTGTTCAACAATCTATTTGGACGATAGCACAGTTAGTCATCCTAATTTAAAAAACACCATTAAATGTGTAACTCTCGCCATTTACTATCATATAAAAAATCGGACTTCTAATAATGTATTAGAAATTTTCGATGAGAATATTCATCCGCTTTCTGTAAGTATTTTCTTGTTCAACTTTTGAAAATTGTTGATGCAACATTTTGAGGGAAATTCAATTTTCATCATTCTCTCTTTATATTTATTCAACAATATAATAACTAATATTGGTTATCCTTTTCCTGTTATATTTCGTTTCATATCAACAGAAAGATTGTGTTAATGAGGATTATCTTAAAGAACCGGATGCAAGAAGTTTGTACAGATTTATGAGAAACCTTTTTACTGCTGCTCAGTTATCACCAGAATGTGCCATTATAACTCTTGTTTACCTCGAGAGACTTTTGACCTATGCCGAAGTCGATATATTGCCTTGTACATGGAAACGTATAGTTCTTGGGGCTATTTTACTTGCATCAAAAGTTTGGGATGATCAAGCCATTTGGAATGTAGATTATTGTTTAATTTTGAAAGACGTATCACTGGAAGATATGTAAGTGACTAATTCTCTGAGTTTTCTTTTCTTTTCCTTCCTTGACATGGATAAATCTTGCTCATCTCTCTTTCGTCATCAAACATGTCAATCAACAAAACAAACTTAAAGAGAATCTATTATTTTCTCATTTCAAGTTCACCCATTGATTTCTTATCCAAATGAAATATTAACTTTACTTTTTATATTATTCTTTTCGCAACGGAAGCTATTTAAAGTCAGAGATTAATTTCTTGTTCCCTGTGGTTGAATAGCTTCAGTATGATTTTCACAATAATCAAGTTAAATTAACGCTTGAGATTTATCTATTTCATATCCGTTTATCAGAATTTATTTCCTCAGATTTGATTCCTAAGTTGTTTAGCTTGTCATTATTATTAGATAAGAGATCTAAGTTTATGATTTAAGATCAATGTTTTTTATTTGATTTTGTTTTGCGATTTCTCATCCACAATTAACATGATTCCATCAAAATGATAAATCATGATAATGATAATTCAAAGTGTACACATTCAATTTTATTGTATCTTTATCAATTACTCTATGTGTGTGTGTGTCTCTTTAATAGTATATGAGCCATTGATTCAGAAAAATACCAGCGATTAGAGGAAATGAGTGGTATTAGTTGATGATAGAGAAATCATAGAGAAAAAAGAAGATGAAAGATGAATGAAAAGATGATAAGAAAAATAAACATATACAAGTAATAATGGTTATATATGTGTTGAGATTATTCAAGTTCATCATCAGCTAGAAAAGCAAAAAAAAAGATATTATTTCAAGAAAATAATCTCGCCCATGTTTCTCCTTCTTTATCTCCTTTTCCTCCTTCTCTCTCTCTCTCTCTCATCATTTTAATTTAATCTCTCCCACACATGAAGTCAACTGATTGAAAATATGCTTCAAAAGCAGCCAAGAAATAGTCTCCCATGATATCAGAATGTTCATTAACCAGCATCTTAATGAACTTCTCACCATTTCATTGAATATGACAAAATGATTATCTCTTTCCATCCAATCGGTTTAATCCTCCGTTTAATTGACCTTCAATAATTTAACACTAACCTTTCCCATCTTAAGTGAAAATAATCAACATTAAGTTTAATCTATTCACTATGATGTGTATTTATTGAGCTCTTTCTCTCAGTGATAATCAATTTCTCTCTCACTTTATTATTACATTAATAGCTCCGTGAGTATCTTTATTACTTAATTTTTTCTCTCTCTCATTCTTTATTTTTTTCTTCTAAAGAAAGTTAATAACGAAAAAAATTGAAAGTTTTTTCCCATTACAACTACTGGAAAATTAGCAAAGGTTTAAGCTTTGTTGAAGCTCTTTTATTATAGCCTTTCATTTGCAGTATTTTCATTCTTTGCTAATTATTAGTTAATTATTCACTCTTATTATCTTCCTTTATCTGTTCAATCACACCAAGCTTCGGTTGGAATAGAATCATTGATCTGTATTAATCAATCTGCCTTTTCTTGTTATTACTTGGAAAATATTAACCGCCAATTTTGATTACAATCAGAAACACCACTAGATTGTTGGTTAATTTCATCAATTCATTTAATGTGAAATTTTATCATTACCTTTATTGTTTGCATCATAAGTTTTTTTATTGCATCAATTATTAATTGTCTAATTATGTTGTCTTTCAAGTGTTTTATCATACAATTAATAGTAAACCCTTTCTCGCATTTTCCCCTTCGATTACATGTACTTTGTATCGTTTTTATTATTTATTGATAAAGTTTTTTTTCCGAACGATATTGTTTAGCTTATCTGTCATGATTATCGCTTTGTTTGAATACTATTTCATTGATAACTAAATTGTCTGTTAATCATCAGATATTTGGTGATTCTTTGTTTACCCTTGTTTGACTCTTTTAATTGTCTATGTTTTTGATGTTCTGTTTTAATTGTTATTGTCTTTTCTTTTTCTGTTTCTAGGAATGAATTGGAAAGGCACTTCCTTCAAATGCTACAATTTAACATTAATGTTCCCTCGAGTGTATATGCCAAGTACTATTTTGACCTGAGAACCTTAGCTGACGAGAATGATCTCACTTTAACCATGGAACCTTTGAGTAAAGAAAGAGCTCAAAGATTAGAGGTAAAAATTTGATTTGACTATTTAATAAATCACTGATTTAAGATAGTTGATCAGTTAATTGTTGTTTGGAATATACTAGTTATTTTTTCAATTCTGATGATCATCATCGTTGAAACTCGAGTCAATCAATTATCCATATCAAAGATTAACTGTCAATTTTGATTGAATGTTGGCTAGTTTCCTATTATTATTGTCTATTGAAAACTTTTTGTTTACACTTTTAATTAGTTTGTTATTTGTTTGATTATTTTAATTGTCTAGTCATCGAATTCAATGATGATCAAGTTACGATTTGTTGATAGTTTTTTTTCATTAATGTTTGTACTTGCTGATGATTTCCTGATTAATTACTTCAGTCTGTCATAATCTTCAAGCTTCGTTAATATTGTTTAGTAAACTGGAACAGAGATTAAATAACAATCGATATTTATTGTTACTGTTTCTCAAATTAATTGAATTATTTCCAAACTCAACTAATTTTCTATCATGATGGAGAAAAAAGCAAAAACCTGTGGGTTAGCTTATTGACAATATTATTTTTAGATCGATCATCGATTTTATTCAATTGTTGTAAATTGATTTACTAATTTCTATTATTTATTATTGTTTATTCTCATCACAGGCTATGTCAAAACTTTGTGATATTCATAAAAATGGTATTCGAAGATGGTCCAGCGACGAAAGGATCGCCTTACACCGTCAGAGCAAAGCCATACTTTCCTAGCATCTCTAATTTATTTTAATTACTACCAAAATAATTAGTAAAATAATTATTGTAATTTTAAAACTCGGTCCTGTTTTCGAGGACAAAACCAAAACAAACACACAAACGTGTCTGAGATCCAGTTGATTACCAACTTGTTGAAGCAACAATTTGTTCTTGCACGACATTGAAATGGATGAGACAAAATTTTCCAACTTTTCAAAGTGAAATCAAGTAAAAATTAATTCAACAAAAATTGACAAAATCAATTAGTGCATAAAGAAATTATCTCAATCAATTTTGTTTTCATTTGTCTTTTATACATAATTCATATTTCTTTGTAAATAATAAAACAAAAACACATGAAAAGGCTCAGAAATCAACTAATTCAATTTGTCTTTTTAAAAATTAAATCTTTTAACGAGAAAGGAAGTTAATTTTCATGGAAACATGATCAATGTAATAAGTGAATAGGATTGGAAATAATCATCGTTTCAAGTTGACAATTAATTTTCACTATTTATTGGACAGTTTGAGAGTTTTAAAAAGAAATTGGTTACATTCATCAGTCAATCTTGTTTGATTGTTGACTTATTTGACCAAATCAATGAGAATCTAAAAGAACTATAGAAAACAAATGAGATTGAGATGAAAATTGTTAAATAATTGTAAGCAATTAGGCCAAAAGTGAAAGTAATTAGAGATGAAAATTTCAGGATGATTGACATGGACCTTAAGTAGAACCTGTTGGTAAAAAAAATGGAAGCTCAATTAGTTAATTGTTTTTACTTGTTTTCTCTGTAAATACTTACTTATTCTTGCATGGAAAGTAATTAGTATGTAGTAAAATACTAATTGAGATAGCAATTAAATAACTTGGTATAATGTGAGGATCGTTGAATGGCTTATTGTATTGATTACGAAGGAAATAATCTCGAAACCATGTGACCAGAATCGGGATCGTCGGAGCTGCCGCTGAGCCCAAAAGTAAAATTATCGTTGTATTTATAAACCGATAAGATGAACTTTCAGTTGAACCTTTACGAAGTTCATCAAGATGATTTGAGCAAGAAGTAGTGATCAGTTTAAGAAGTGAAATGCTAATTGTTACAATCAAACAGATCGGACTACAGGTAAGTATAGTTAATAATAGACAGGTAACTGTGATTAAGGTTGGAATTACTTTTAGTTTAGATGTTTTTTGAGTAATTAACTCTTGACGATTAGCATTAGATAATTGGTGTTGAGAAAATCTGCCAATAAAAAAAGAGAGCAAACATTATTAACGATTTAGGACAATTAAAAGAATTGATTACTTACATTTGCACAATTAGTGAAAATAAATGAGAAAAGGTGAAAATAATCAGATCGATAATTGTTGAGACTACAAATAAAAATGAATACGAAAATAAGTAGAGGAAAAGGTGAAGGAAAATTTTCTGATCTTCACTTAAAGATGAATGTGAATATGGATTAACAGAATTTAAAATTGAATTAAATTTCCATGAGAGATTAAGTAATCTAGAAATTGCGAGAAAGAGAAAATTAATTAGTTCAATTGGATGAATATGTTTATCATGCAACATACATAAAACTAGTGAGTGTTACACATAATTTACCTGTAAATTTTATCCACAATTAAAGGCAATAAAGGTAATATGGTATATAAAGATAATTTAAAGAAATTATTTCTAAGTATCACAAATAGAGGTTGAAATGTTTCCCTTGACGAGATGAATCCAGTTTTTCGTAGAGGTTCAACTAGGGAATTTTGATTAGAGAAAGTGGGAATTATTTGAATGGATAGAGCTGATAAAAGGATCGCTGACATGTAAGGGAGAAAGTAATTAAAATAGTGACGAATAAGCTGACTAAGTGCCTCTCGATAGGAGAAACTCATTTTCACAGTATATCCACAGTTCAGGTCTAGCATAAGATAAAGGTGCGGATGTCGATGGTCAGTTGGATCTTGTTTGGGTACATTGAGACGGAGATTCATGGTTACTGATTTGCCTTTCGTGGGTGGTATTTGCATAGAAGCGTCTTCTGAACTCCATGGGACCCAGAATTGAACTAAACCATATTCAAATGCATTGGAGTAACATGAGCGAACTTCAATCCGTAGATTGTAACTATGCCAAACTTGATCGAAACCAATCAAAGTCAAATTATAGAAAATTGCTTCTTCAGCCACTGGGATCTCCAGGATATCAACTGAGGTCCAAAGAAGGGACATAAGTCCGTCTAAAAAGGTTGGCATAATAATGGCCTTGTTACGTCGTCCATACGAGTATCGTTCACCGATAACAGAAACGGGTCCAACGGTTGGCCCAAGATAAACAACAACATGTGAATGACCAGCGGCCATCAACTGGTCAGATTCAATTTTTAAAACTTTGCGTTCGTTTCCATAAGTCTTTTGAATGAGTCGAGTCATTTGCGTTAGATTATCACCAAATTCACTAAATTTTGAACAAAAATAAGTCAATTATAAATTCGTCAAAAAATAAAATCAATATAAGAAACACTAATCACCATGAATCGGTTCCGTTATTATTGGTCGCATTGCAAGCATAGACCCAATCACTTCTCATAACATTTGACGTCAATAATATCACATTAGTTTTAGTAATCAATGGAAATAGAAGGTAAATTGCATCTATGATCTGTTAAAGAATTTAAATTGTAGTTAAAACTGTTTTTGTAACATTCTAATTGTTAGTACCTTATTACGTTTGAAAATAAAATAACGCTGATCAAATGAGATCCATGTGCCTTTACTTGGAAGTTTAATTCTTGATGGAGCAATTATACTGCTGGAAGATCCCCTGTTACGGTTGAGCAAATGATACGAGATAATTTGTGATCTTCTCTTAGAATCGGTAATAATTCGATGAGCTTTAGAATCAGCCAGTTCAAAGATGAGCTTAGCTAATTTTACGATTAACTGTCTACACCAGACGATACATTGATGATCAGTTGAAACCCAAACATCAGAAATCGCTGTGGTCAATAGATTAATATCTCCAGAAGCTGGTAAAAGATCTGGAAGTCTTGTTAATTCTGATTTAACCAATTTATCGTCAAATCCTCCACCGATTGAGATGATAGTGAGATGTTGAAGCTGAGATGTGTTTCGATGATCTTTCCAATAAGAGATTACATTATGATAATAGTTTAACATATGAGTATCAATGAAAAGAGCTACAAGAAAAAAAAGAGAGAAGGAAACAAGATTAATGAATGAACACAAATAAGATGATGTGAGAGAAAGAGAGAGAGAGGAAGAGATGATGACGATGAGAACGGAAATGATGATGTGAAACACTTGAGCTTTTGATGTAACAAGCAAATATTAGTAATAAGTGTTTCTTTTTCAATGGAAGAAAAGAAATCTAATCAATTAAAATAATACGACGAAAACGGCAGAGTCATTGTAGCAATTTTTCTGTATTTAACTAACCAGGTTGTTGATGAGGTGTTGCTAATGTAATGAGTAGATCAACGGACGAAGCTTCAAAATTAGGCATGGTGAAAACACCTCGACTGATTAATCCACCCTGAATAAAGAGAGAAAAAGACAATAAAGTGAATCAATTAGTAAAACTTTTTATCCGAAAATGATGATTGTTAACTGATTATCTTACAATTGAATGACCAATCACGATAAGAGAAACATTTCGACCAGCTCTTAAATAGAGCCTTTTAATTGCCTCGATAGATTCGTATAAAAATTCAGTTTGAGATTGTAATTTAGCTCCATATAAACCAGACAATTCTTCATTGAAATCGATGGTGAAAAAATTGAAATGATGAGGCATAAGACGCTCCTCTGCCATTCGCAAGGCTATCGAGCCAAATGAACGAACTTGCTTGTAGCTACCTGCACTTCCAGGCACAAAGAGAACGGGTATTCCATAAATGACTCCTTCTCTGTAGAAAAGAAAAAGAAAATCAGCATTAAGGTTAATACATATATCGATTCGTTAAATGCTTCATCAAAATGAACAAGAAGCAGAGGGAGGAAAATAGAGAGAGGAAGAGAAAAATTGTGAGAATCCTAAATTAGTGGGAAGAAATAAACATCGGACAGAAGAAGAATCGATATAAACCATATTTACAGAGAAAAAGAACAATTTACCTAAGGAACATTGCATATTCTCCTTCTCCATAAATGTACAAATTGTAATCAGGAAATTTTTTGGAAACATTGTTACGCAAAGGAACAGGCTGTTGGAAGAAAATGAATTTCATCAGATTAGATTTATGTTCAGTGGTGAGAAGGGTAAACAAGTTGAATGAGAAAAAGGGACAATTAAGTGGACTAAATGTTCATTGAGTTGTAAATGTTTAAAAATAAACGAAAATTAACAGAGCTTATAAATGTTACGAATAAAAAGAAAGGTAAACATGGTATTCAGAAGTAAATCTTTGAGCACTTCTAAAATTGACTAAACATTATTCTAATTCTTATATAAATTAAATGAAGGAATAATAATGAACAGTTGAATGAATTATGAGAAAGGAATGAAAGAAGTAAACAAGAATCAATCCAAGTCTTGTTTACGAAATGTCGATGACTTATTATCATATCAAATTAGAATGTCAACTGACTGAAAGGTCCTAATTAATTCGAGAAGCTTCAAGTTAATCACGAAATAGGAAAACAACAAAATATTGTAAAAGGATAAGAAAAGAAAAGGAGAGAAACCTAATCGGTTTGGAGAGTTATCAGTATCTCTATAGTGGACCTAAGGATAAAAGGTGAAGAATTTCAACTGATTTGAATCGAAATGGAAAAAATTTATCATAATTAAAGAGGTAAATTGATAAACACCATGATGATAGTGGTAAAAGGGTGAAAAATATCAAGAGAAATTGTTTTTTGACAACTTACAATGAACTGAGGAAATTGATACATGAAAGTCATCTCACATTGATTGTGTTCCTCTTTGATTGCATAGTGATAAAATCCGAAAAGTAAAAGACTAAACAAAAAGAAATAGAATAAAGTTAATTTAGATTTAATCACTTTGGTATAAAATAAGTTAACCATAGTTAAAGTTAATTAACTTGTAATCTCATAACCAACATGATCAACTTGTTCTGACAAAAAGAAAACAAAATCAATAAAAAAAGAGAAAAGAACAAATTTAGTTGAAAAAGAACCGAAAGATGTCACCACTTTTCTGTGTTTACTTTTTTCGCAATTTCTTTAATTTAATTTATTGATCGCAATTAGTTTTGATTTTAATTATTAAACTTGGAATTTCAATTGGACTCATTGTTTCTGATTAATTATACATCTGTGTTAACTTAGATTCTTATCTGACTTTGTTTGGTATCTTGTGTGTATCTCATTTAACTTAATTCTGACTTCAACTAACAACAGCTGATTGAGTGAAATGTAATTTTAATTTTTCTTAAATTGATTGCAATTGATTTATAAATTATTCTGTCATATTTATCATTTCATTTTTGGTTCATACAACTGACCAATTTATCTCCTTTTTTGTATTTATCTGTCCAAATATCTTAGTTATTAATTTGGTCGCAAATTTCTAGTGCAATGTCTTTGCCTCATTTCACAAGATCAACAAGGACTTTGTTGATTAAATTGCCAATCAAGTTTAATTATTTATCATCTAGATGGACAAGTGAAGTTTCCAATATACAAATTACTCCAATTCAACGGATTCTTCTTGCATTTGGTTCCTCCGCTGTTGCTTTAGTTGATCCATTCAGAGATGGTTTGTTTCGTCACTTTGTTTCTTCAACTTTCGCAATTAATCAGTACTAATTCTCTGCTCTTCTACTAGATATGGTGGCTGTAAGTGGTGAAGTTATGGGTCAAAGATCATTGAAATTAATGTTGAAACGAATGTCATCAGATGCCGAAGGCTCCCAAATATTGGCTGATAGATGCCGAATCAACTCTAAACAAATTGATCTCAAGCATTTGGAATCATTACCGATTAATACATTAGGACATCAGTATATTAAATTTCTCAAAGATAATGTAACATTTTTACGATATTTCATTCTTGCAATTTAATCAATTTTTCGCATTTTTCACTCTCTCAAAATACAGAATATAAGCTGTGATACCAGAAAGGAAGTTAAATTCATCGATGATCCTGATTTGGCTTATGTGATGCAACGATACCGAGAAACTCATGATTTGGTTCATCTCTTACTCCATATGCCAACTAATATGCTCGGAGAGGTGGTTGTGAAGTGGATCGAGGCGATTCAATATGATCTACCGATGTGCTGGGGAGCCGCAGTGTTTGGGGCTTACCGACTTAAACCTAAACAACGAGCTAAATATCTCGATACACATTTAGATTGGGCGATTAAAGCAGGGAAACAATCAAAGTATCTGATCAATGTTTACTTTGAGAAACGATGGACTCAAGATATTGATGATTTGAGGCAAGAACTAAATATTCCACCTCCACCGTCTTAACACATGGACATCTCGCTATTAACTGATGCCTTATAATTTAGTTGAAAAGTATTGAGATTAAAATGGACAAAATAAGAAAATATAATCAAGAAAAAAATACTGTCTTCTTTATAAAACTCAAAGGGTTTCAATTGGAAAGATACAAGGAAAAGACAAAGAAAAGTATATTAGATGTAAACCTTTTTTTTGTTTCATTAATTAACGTTGATTTAATTTAAAATTCACGTTGGAATTTAACAGTGGAAATAGTTTTCCTTTGATGATGTTAAACAATTTGATGATAATAATGAGTATGAAAAAGATGACGATCACTAATCACGATGATTAACTTTAAATTATCTCTATTGTTGAAAATTTGATTGATTGCATGATCATAATGGTGACATAAAAATGCAAGTTACGATCAAATTGATGAACAATCTTGATCATCAAGAGGAGATAATTGTTAAATATTGAATCAAAATGTTATGTATCCTTTTAGAGTACAGGAATTGGAATCACAATTAACATTAACCAGATTTGCTTCTGATTAAATGGAGGCAGTTGAAACAATTAAATATTTCACTTTTTGATGTTGTTTTTGGTTTGATTTGGTCAACAGGAAATTAAAAGCTGCATTGACTTTAATTTACAATTTGTATAAATTACCATATTATTAACGCTATTTACTTGGTGGTAATGGGTAATGCTCTTAATTGTTGTCGTTAATTAAGTTGATAAAGGTTTTGTTGAGGTTCCAGATGAGGTTTTCTGTTGCATCAGTCTTGCGATTTCTTCACCAAGTGTATTAAGATTTTCCTAAACAATTAAGATGAAGAAAGAAAAGTTAATTATAACGAGTAATTGTGTTGAATGAAAAATGAGACAGTTAAAATATTACAATGTAATTGGAATAATTTTGTAATCAAGTTTCCATCTTAGTAATAAAAGTGATTTGATTTGATTGATTTGGAATCATGATTCAGTGGTAAACTGATTAAATGTTATTAAGTTTTACTGTTTAATTAGAGAGACAATTAAACAATTGAATGTTAAGTTCACCATAAATGTATTATGATAACATGATTGTAGTCAACTGAGGATCGGAAAACCGAGAGACTAACTTATCCCAAGATAAATTGTGGATGATTAAGTTAATCATTTTACCTTTAAGGTGATGTTTTTGAGTATCGTGTCCTCTAATACTGCTTGTAACCTCCTGTTGATTTCGAGGGAAAGATTTAAGGTCATCGCTGAATCGGTCGGGTAACTTTTGTACAACGAAGACATCACAGTCGATCCATGTTTAGCCAATTGTTTCTGTAGTAATTAAAAAAGTAATCGATGAGAAAAGTTATTACAATTAGGAGGATCAATGAATTGTTGAATTAAATTATTTTGATTGTTAGGAAAAAGCTATTCAAATGAAAAACAGCAACAAAAAATAATGAAATTAATTAGAAATCAAATTAAACAGGTAAATTATAAATGGAAAGAAATCAGAAAAAATAATTATACAAATTAAACGCCACAACAATTAACATCTATTCAATACCTCTGATTGTTTGAATCTTGGCATTTGGTTAAGATGGTTAAGATTAATTTGATCAAATATAATAAATTACTGGAGATTTAAATTGTTTTCAATTTTCTGCTGTTAGAAGATTAATTATGTGACAATATCTAAAAAGAGCAGTTAATTGTTAAAGCTTGATGATGATGTTAATCGATGAAAGGAAATGTACAACACCCGTAACTGGCGATTAGTTAATTAATAGGAAATGAATGTTGATTAGTGATGTTGGATGAAGAGATCAAAACAGATTAAGAGTGACTAACAATTAGTAAATTGATTAGTAAATGAGAAGAAAACATAGAAGGACAAAATGAGAATTGATTTCTGTAGAGTAAGCGAATAGATTGTTAGTTAATTGTTTGGATCGATTTTCTTTTTTCTTTGCATTTTCTTTGCATTTTTGGTACGAATTGAGGATTCGATTCGAATCATTTTCGACGAACCTTATTCTCGTCCATTCGATTGGTGGATAAAGCACCAGCTTCTTCCCGAAGAATATAATTCTGGATTAATTTAGTTTTCTTTTTCATCTCTGATAACAATTGATGATTGTGCTCCTCGAGGAAATCAATTTTCTCCTGTTTTTTGGCTATTGTTTTTTGAAGGCGATAAATTTTGTTAATTAACATCGATTTATCAACATTGGGTAAAATGTCGGTCACATCACCCGACGTTGATTTGTTAATTGTTGATGATTCGCCATCATAAGATGCTGAACCAGTGTTGTTTGTTCCTGTTGTTGATGCTAAACTTTGATTCCCAGGACCAGAGGTGGAAACTAATGATTTAATATCATTTCTAGAGTTAATTGTTGAGGATGATGAGGGTGTAATTGTTGGCGGTTGAGTAGCTTTAGCTGTTGATAGATCATTAGAAGACGAACTGCTTCGAGAACTGTTACTAATTGAGTCCGAATTGGCGTTTCCATTATCTCGTCTATGATTCGAGGATTGGTGTTCACTTTCACAGGTTTCCATGTGTTTCTTCATGATTAACAATTCCTTATTCAATTCTCGGACACTATTAAGATGCCGTTTCTTCATTACTTTGTTTTCATTTTCAATCTCTTCGACTCGAGTTTTGAATTTGTTGACCAATTCCATTTTCTCAGCCACTTTTCGAGCCATCAATGTGATCTCTTTTTCGTGGTCTCCTCTTTCTTTGGTCAATGTTTCATTGAGCTTCGAGTTCTCGGTTTCCAATTCTTGGAGACGCTTTTTAATCACATTAAAATCTTCCAACAATGAAGTATATTTTTCCTCTAGAGTGTTATGTTCAGCCTGAAGAAGAACCGATTTAGCAGTAAGTCTTTCAGTAAATTCAAGAAGTTCACCCTCTTTGTGTCGACATGATTCCATCTCTGTTGTTAATTCAGTATTCAATTCTGATACTCGAGCTAATTCATTCTTTGCACTTTCAACAATATCCTTTTGTCGTTGTAGATTAACTTGTAGTTCCTCCATATCTTTTAACTTAATGTTACACTCGAGTATTTCACCATTTAGTTTGTTTAATGATTCTTTCAATTTGAATACGACCTCCTCATGGTCTAACCTTTCCCGCTCCAGTGCTTGGACTTTACGAGTTAACGAATGATTTTCTGCCTCCAGCGATATCAGTTTATCCTTTAAGCCTCTAAGTTCAGGTTTAGTTTCATCGACCTTTTCTTCAGTACCAATAGCTAATTCGGATTTGGTGTCATTTGATTCTCTCCCCATTTCTCTCAATGAGTGTGTTGATGTTGAAGTTCTCAGTGTTAGAGGAATCGATATATTGGATTCAATCACATCATTAGAATCACTAATCATTCCTAGTCTACTATTGCTTCTACTACTACGATCTTCTGGTGATGTTAATGTGCTTGATTCAGAGTATGATGGTGATGATGCTTTTAATTTGTTCTGAAGATCCTCAATTAAAGCTAAAGCACTTCCAAGCTTTTTACATGTCTCATGATGATCATCAATTTCCGCCTTCACTTTAGATTGAGCTTGTTTCCATTTTAAATCTCGATCTTTCAATTCTTCACGAATCTTTTCAATCTCTTTCTGAAGTAAAATATTCTCCGTCAATTTGGAATCAATTGATTTCATCATAGAGCTTTTATCACAGGTTAAGCTTTTTACTTTACTGGCCAGTGTTTCCTTTTCCTTGATGGCTTCTCTCATTTTTTTCTCAGCCTCGTCCTTGGCTTTTTTGCAAACGATCACATCTCGTTCACTTTTAGCATATTTAACCACCATTGATTCAAGATCTTTCCTTGAGAGATCCCTTTCCTTGGTACATTTATCCAACCGTGTGTTGAATGTTAATTTTATATCTTCAACGGTTCTTTTGAATTCCTCTTCTTGGCGAAACAGTTTCTCCTTTAGATCGATTACTTGTTTTTCCAGATCAGTTTTCTCTTCAATTACTGTTGACATTTTGGCCTCATAATTGGCCTCCAGTGCCTTTAGATCAAGTAGAAAACCGTCCGTCATTTCATTGTGTCTAACATCAGATGAGGATGACGATGAAGCTCCAATATGGTGGTGACCAGAGTGGAGATGATGATGATGATGATGATGATGGTCATCGGAATCATCATCTCCAACACTTATTCCTGATCCAAGTAAATCTTTTATTAGACTTTCATTGGAGGCATGAAAAGGAGTACCTAAAGGAGTAGATGATCCAGATAATCCAACATCTTGGCTTGAATATGAACTTGGAGTTGAACTTCTTTCTTTATTGGTTAAACAGACATCATCAAATATCAACTGCTGCTGATTTGGTTGATTAGTTGTTTGGTTTGATGAAGACAATTGTTGCTGTTGTTGGGAAAGATAGTCAGTATCTCCATTATGTGGCGATTTTGTAAGACCATTTGAGGCTACATTTGGTATATTTGGTTCAATTTCATCTGCCATCGGTACTTAGAGACCATCACAAATAACAAATTGAACAATTAGAAATAAATTAACAACAATAAACAACAATTTAATCCATCGGAAGGTAATGAAACCTGAACAAAAAGTGACAACAACAAAGCAAAAGACTGAACAAGATCCGATAGAATCGATACTTTCAATTTATCCGATATTCACTTTGCAGAAGTTCATAAGCTCATGAAATTTTTCATATAAAATCGTGTTTTCCGACAAAATAAAGTTCTTAAAACAAGTGTAAGTGACCCACAACCCTCAGAGGAAAAGTTTGATACCAAAATCACCAGGAAAAAATAAAAGGTAAGAATAATAGAAACAAAACAAAAAAACGGCGTGATTACCACACCAAACGAGCAGAAGACGAGAAGCAAAACGAGACGAAAAACCAAATAAAATAACAACTTTTTCTCTTTTCAATTTCAATTTTCTTCCCATTTTCCACCTGAAAGATGAGTGAAATCAGGGAACAACAAGCGAGATACCTCGACTCGATCAAAGAATGTGTCGGGGAACCACCAGATGAACAGAAATGTAAAGAGTTTCTGAACGAATTACCAACCGACACGTTGCTAGAAAAACGAATGTGGGTAAACGACACAATTGCAAATGAGGCCACAATAAAATCACTCAAGATAACACTAGAAACCATTGAAATAATGGGAAAATACTCAGATATAATAACGAATATACTCACAGAAAGAGAAAATCAGGAAAAAGAAATGGACGCCATGCTAATAGAAACAAGTAGCACCCAACGTCCAGTTCCAAAGAAACTTCCACTTTTTGGTAAACGAACATCCCAAAGACGAGCTAACCAACAAAAACAAACCACAACAATAACTAAAGAACCATCACCACCAATACCATCCTTCACACCAACACAAAAAAGAACAGAAGAAAGAGAACCGAACCCACAAGAACCACCACCACGAAAGCCAAAGTTAGCAACGAACATTTTCCGAGACAAATCAATTACCCCGAACCACTGGCTCCCATGGGAACACCAGGAAAGGGAATTTAACATTGAAATAAATGGAGACAAAGAACTGAGAACAATGGCCTCGATTAGTGAATTTCTCCTGAACAACAACCTAATGACCGGAAACATAATAAGAATAAATGAGAGAAACGGTATGACGATAATTGCCGTGAACAACGAAGCAGTAAGGAAAGATTTAGCGGAGAAACTCCAACGAAATCTCCCAACACTGAACATCAAAATTCCAGTTTGGAAAAAACCGGAGATAAAAATAGCCGGTGTCAAGATCATTCCCCCAGCAAGAAACTGGGAGGAAATGGTCGACAGAATCAAACAAATGAACGGTTTTCCAAAACCACTCACTTTTGAACTGGTCGAACATTTTACGATCGGCATAAAGAAAACAAATGTAATAGTGGTAAGAGTAGATCCCTCAATCCGCTCAGAAATTCAAAACAAGAAAAATGGTAAAATTTTCTGCGGAAATTACAACCACGATATCGTTGATAAAATTGAATTTCTACATTGTAAAAGATGCCAATCATATACCCACACAAAAATAAGCTGCAAACTTCAAGACAGATGCCCAAGGTGTGGTGAAAACCACACAATAAATAGATGTACATCATCTAAAAAAGCTTGTGCATCATGTAAATCAAATGAACATTCAGTAGGTGACTTTACATGCAAAGAATACCTACAAGCAGTAAAAAAAGCGATTGAACAAATCGACTATACTTATTCATATATAATCCACCCGAAAAAAAGAAATTAAACCCTTAAACAGGGCTGGTAATAAAAAATTACCAAAGGTCGGGATTGAAGATTAGAAAGCTGACACTAAGTCGTGGTGGCCTCAACAACAATCCCGACAAAAAGAATCAAACAAACCAAAATGAAAACAAATAAAAAATTTTTCAGTTAAAAGCAGATAATGCCTAAATGAAAAATTTTTAAATTTTCAACCTTTCAAGGCTACGTAAATGTTCTCTAAACTGATGCAACAAAACTAACAATCCGAACAAACGGATTAAGAAAACAAATATGAAGAAATAAATAAAGATAGATTAAATCATGTTCTCCTTACCAATCAACATATGTAATCAAAATTAACAAATAAAAACAATTAAAAGTAAATGAATTTTATTAAATCGATCCATTAGGAGCTTTAGGCATAAAAGAACAATCTCGCTCATAGAAAATCAAAGAGAAAGGGGTATGACCAACGGATAAACCAGGGGAAAGAGATGAAACTTTTCCGTTGTTCAACTCAATCCAACCAGAATTAGTCTTGACATGAGCTATTGAATGCCAAGTCAGAAAAAGATCTCCACTCTCAGGGGAACGGAAAACATCACCGAAATCAGCACCATTAGCACCAACATAAATTGGATAATCACAAGAATAACAGATCTTAGTATAATCACAAGGATCATCACCCCAACAGACCGACAAAGTCTCAGCAGCTCGAACCTGTTGATTACGAAAAATGTGATCATCACCAACACGAAACACCAAAAGGGAAGGCAAAGATACAACAGTAACCTGAGAAAAACGAAGAAGCTCAGAGTTACAGAGCTTACCAGCAACCCGAGCAATACAATTTATATGCTGATGAGAAATCAAGGTGCATAAATCAGCAACCAAATCAGTAAGAAGCACATTTTCACTAGAATCAACATCAGGTAAAAAAATGAAAGGCAAAGCCACAGGATGAGCATTAAAAATAGACCCACAATCCAAACAATCAAAATCGACAGATAAAAGAGTATGAGAAACTAAAACGAACTCATCATCCTCTTGCCGAAGCTGAGCCATCAAATCAGGATAAACAACCTCTTCTCGGCCACCAGGCATCAAATAATGATTACGAACATTATCCCCTAAATGGCGACATAACAACATGATAACACTATCAAGACTTAAATCATCATCAGGAAGAATCTTGAAAGCCTCACCAGAACGACCATGAGTAGCCCAAAGACCAAGAGGAGTGTTAAGAAGCTGCAAATGCCCGAACTGAGACACTTTCAAATATAACCGGAAAAAACGAAACAAAGCCCTCGTCCAAAGAAAATCAACACCACCGAAATTACGAATAACCTCGACACTCAACGGATCAAGAACAGTACCAACGTTTACACGACAACACACATTATGATTAACCCGTAAGAGAACTCGAACAAAACTAGGAGACCTCATCAATAACACCAACACGGTAGTGAGATAACAATGACCCCGCACATTAGGAAGACCAATAATGTAAGGAGGCTGAAAAAGAAAAAGAGATAAATAAGTAACGGTAATAGAACAACAAATAAGCTAATCTAAATCGAGGTCGCCAAAAGTGCCTACTTACCAAGAAAACATTCAAAGGTACCAACCTATCAACCAGCCGATCAGCAGCTAAATTTAAGGCGAAAGATCGTCGAGTACCACAAGCATCAACACGAAAAACACCACTAGAAAACTTAACCACAATCCGAACCAAATGATAAGTAGAGCCAGAGTCATTCACTTGCTGAGAAAAACGCTTGACCACCCCCCTCAAGGGACCAACAAAATTAACCATCAAAGAATGAAAAGCTCCAGGTCGACAAAATAGACCTTTATCAGCCTGTAAAATAGAAGAAAAATACAAATCAGTAAGACGAAGAGGTAAATAAGAAGACATGATGAAATAAGTAACAAGTTTTTCAAATGATAGAACAAAACAAAGAAAAGAAAAGGAAGAAAGTAACCATAGAAACGGAGAGCAAAAACCGTTGAGAAGAAAAACAAAAACAAAGAACGATGTTCGGTATAAAAGTTATAAGTATCAACATAAGAAAAAAACGAAATATCTTCAAAATTTTCTTACAACGAATGAACAATGAAACGAAAACGTGCCTGCTAATTAGTGAATGTCCAATTGGAACACAATTTGAATCAAATGATACCACAATCTTCATCGGAAACTCGGTAGCAATCATCTTATCACCGGACATCCACGGTTACCAACTATTCAAAAACCAATCGATGATAGTAATCAAACTAAATATCCACAACATCATCATTGGTAGCGTGTATATTAAAACATGGGGACCAAATACAAACATTGACCTAACAAGAAGAACAATCAACATGATAAAACAAATAACCACAACAAACGAAAATGCCCCGATAATCTTCGGAGGCGACGTTAACTGGCCATCACCACAATGGAATAAACTAAATAAAGTTAAAATAGTGAGAAAGAAAATTTACCATCAAATAATGGAACAAATAGAAACTCTGATAAAAACAGGTAACCTGAGAATCACCCACGATGACCTCCAAACCACCTTCAAGAATAGCAAAAGGGTAATAGATATCATTCTATACAATAAAAACTGTGAAATTATCAACAAAAGTGTAATGAGTGCTGAAGGCCTTGACCACATGGGACTAATAGCCAGATTCAAAACATCCAAACCAACAATCAAAATGAAAAAATCGCCAGAAGAAAAACAATTAATATTCGGATCATGGAAATTAAAAGAAAGAAACATCACCGTTAATCAAGAAGACGAATGGGATAAGAACCATGACCTCGTTAAATTAAGCAGAGAAATCATCCATTTCCCAAACAACCATGGAATCTGGAAAACGGCAAAAAAGAAAAGAAATCAATTACAAAGATTGAGACACCAAAGAAAAAAATTGCTAAAGGAAAAACGAGATGACATAAACAAAGAAAGAATTAAAAATATAAATACAAGAATCAACAACAAATTGAAAAGAAACTCATACAGAAAATTACTTACGAACGAGAAAAATACAAGAAAATTATGGAAAATAATAAAATCTAAAATACTAGGAGAAGAGGAAATTAAAATCGACCCAAAGAACGAAAAAACAATCGAGTCAAAACGAAACCTACTTGAAGGTTTCGAAACAACGAAACCAAGATACATGGACAAACCCCAGTACATAAAAGGAGAACTTACAGAGGTCGAATTGAATAAAATCGAAAAAATAAAATTTAAAACCTCATCATTGACAGCTGATTGTTACACTCCAAGAACGTGGAACAGATTCTACGAAACAAACAAAAAAATCATCACAAACCTGATACAAAAAATATTTGAAATATCACATGTACCCAATTGTATCACCACACTAGGGTGCATGCTAATTCCCAAAGCTGATTCAATCAGATACAGAATGGTTAAATCACCAAACTACCTGATGAAAATCATCGACACAATCCTGGCAGAAAGGCTGCAGAATATCAGCAATGAGTATCTCCTGGCCGAAACACAGTACGCTTTCCAGAAAAACAGTAACAGAGATGAATTCTTCGCCAAATTAATATTTACCGATCACCCACAAGAATCGAAAATCATAATGATGGACATTTCATGTGCTTTTGATGAGGTGGATGTGATAAGCCAAGAACCAAGACTAATGAGAGCATTAGGTAAATCGACATGGTATCTCTTGAAATCTATGCTGACCAACAGATGGCTAACAATCAGAGAAGACCACAAGAACTACTACAAGAAAGAAACCATTGGAGTCCCCCAAGGAACAGCAGTGGGACCTTTACTCTTCATCCTCTGCCTCGACTCAGCCATCAGAAGACTCCACATGAGGAACATAAAAGTTATCGCTTACGCCGACGATATGGTACTGGTAACAAGGGAAGAAACGGCTGAAGTCCTAGAATGGGTAAGTGAAGAACTGGGACCAATAAACCTGAAACTAAACAAGAAAAAAACAATAGAATATAAATTATCTCAAATGAAAAAATTCGAATCAGTCGGTTACACACTGATATGTGAAAACATTGAAAGAAAATTTCAAGACTTGATGATGGAGGAAGCCAAAGAATTAAAAGAACAAATCCAAACGAAGACGAATTCATGGCGATTACTCCCGACAAAAATAAAGAATCTACTGGCAACGACAATCATCTTCCCGAAACTGGAGAAATACAATTTTGGCCTTTTCTATGGAGACACAAGAGGCCATCAAGAGATGCTAGAAACAGTGATGATCCTCATAAAAGCATATGGAGCCGTGTACAACCTGTTCTTCCAAGAAAAATTTGAATCGAGATGGACCTTCATAGCGAAAAACAAATGCCCAAATCCAGTGGTCACTTTCCTAAAAAGATTGAAAATTCTAAAGAGCAAGATGAATCTTCGAAGACCAGCCCAAATAAGACCACTACCCCAATATATGGAAATGAAAAGTGAGAACTGGAACTGGCTCAAGAAGAGATGGAAAAGAAGACAACAACCATGTAGACGAATCTATTGGAGAATAACCAGATTCCAAAAAGTTTGGGTACTCGTGATGATGGATGACTCGAAAAACTCTGAAGAAATAGAGAAAAACTACTTGGTGTTAGAAGCCGAAAACGAATGGGAAGCAGAATTAATAGCATTGGAATACACAATAACGAACCTGAACATCGAGGGAACATGGATCCTTGTACCAGAGAAAATAACAGAATATTGGCAAGGAATATCGAGATTCGCAGAAAACGTAAGATGGATAATGAACAAAGTGAGAAACAAAACATGGTGGTGGTTTGGCCACAAATTAGACGTCAACCTAGAAGAAGAAGAAATCACATCTTTAAGAAACATAACCGTGGCAAAATACTGGACACTAATAACACAAGAAAGAGAGGCAACAAAATGGGCCAGAAACCAAGTGAAATATGCGTACAAGTACAGCGAAGATATAATCACCAAAATTTTCCCGAACATGAACCTGAAGAAACCAATACATTACCAAATATACACGATAATCTCAAAAAAGCTCATAGGATTCGAATGCTGCACCAGACACTCAACATGGGAACACTTGTTAATAGACTGTAACTGGATGGATAACATTGAAGGAATAACTGAAATGAGAAGAAAAAACAATTTTAGCATAGAAAAAGAATCAGAAAATGAATTAATTATAGCAGAATTTATTGAATATGTAATGAACATGAAATATTGTCAAGATCAACTAAGAAAAGAAAAGCTGTCAAGAGAGGTTGAAGAGCATGACCTCTAGAGGGTGAGACTTGAACTCACTCAGTCATGTGAACCCACACAATTCATATGGCACTTTGTAACTAAAGTTAAAAAACAATAAAATTGCAGTTGAAAGTTAATCCAATTTCTGTTGATTAACTCAACTAATCAATGTCAGATTGTAATTGATCACATTTCATCTGTTGATTTACATTGCACTCAAATTCAAAGCTCATTCCTGGAACAATTCCTGGAAAAATAGATGAAAAATGGATTCGGTTTTGATAAATCTTGGAGCGAATATTTAATTATAATCAATTGAAAGAATCGGTTTTTTGGTTTTGTCAAATCACAATTAATTCACAATATGAATAAAAGATTTCAAGGTGGAAATTTAATCACAATTACTCTTTATTTCTATTGATAAGATTAAAAGACTTTTAAGGATTAATTAAATTAACGTCCAAGTCAATTCTATGAGTTTATTATTGTAATTGGCTAATTAAGTTTTTCTGGAAACTTTAACCATGGATTTAGATTCTCTTAGAGGTTAATTAATGAAATCTATTGTATATGATTAGGATGAAATAATAACAATCAGTAGATCAAAATGTAAATCAATATGTCTTTAGGATCTTATCAATGACAATTTAATAACAAATTGACTACAGTTAATGTTGAATAGTTTTAAATCAACTCAGATGATTGTTCACAAACTTTTGTCGACGATTGTAATTAATCGCGATCATCATGCTAATAATTTTCAACAATGAAAAACAACTTATTTTCAACTTGAACTGATTTCAATTCTAGACTCAGAAAAATGAATATTTAATCAACAATCAACAATTAATTTCCATTTCAAATCATATGAACATTTTTCCAATAAAAACAATTGGCACTTATTCAGTTGATTGTAAAGATTTGATTCTCTTCTCAGAACTATTCAGCAATTCTATTGATGCTCATCATCGAAACTTATGTACAGTCAGATAATCGAATTAGCCCTCGAGTGACCACCAGTGTTTCCTGGTAAAGCTTCATGAATTTCGGAATTGAGTTCGTAGATGGAATGTCGAAAATGTTTACTATGAACTTTTCCGTTCTTAAGGCCGAGCATATAAATACTCTAGAGATCTGAAGCTAAACTAGAGCAAAAGTTGATATGCAAATACAGAACATTGAGCATTATTAATTAACGAGACGATGACAATTTATTAATTGCTCTTTATTTATAAATATTCAAGGATTGAAAGGTGAAAAAAATGGTTATGAATTTTGTTTGGTAATTGCTATCGATTGATATTTTCGACGAAGTTTTCAGAGACCTCCACCCATTATACTCATTGCCATGTTAATTAATTGTCCAGCATCACCGAGACCTCCACCTCCACCGCCTCCACTGTCACCGTCTTGAGCTAAGGCTTGAATCAGTTGTAAATATTGAGACCACTCTTGTTGGGTCATTCCGAAACTACCAGAGTTTGAACCAGAACTTGAACCAGAATTTGCACCAGAATTTGATCCTGACCCCGAATTTGAACCTGAATTAATATTAACCTCACTTCGGCCTTGTTCATCTACTCCACCATTACTTGGACCATAATGACCACTATTACCACCGCCGCCGCCGCCGCCGCCAGAAGATGGAGATCCGAATAGGAAGGAAAATATTTGTGAGAAAAAGTCATCACCTTTTTGTAGATTTTAAAGAAAAGAAAAAAACATCAAATGTAATCAACAATTCGACTAATCAATCAGCTAACAAACCTTCATTTGCTCCATTGTAATCACCGAACATGTCACCATTTAAATTGTTCGAACCATATTGTCGTCCAAGATTCTTGTTACTACCAATTGAATTTAAATTGGTTCTATTTTCATTGCGATAATTTGATTGTCTTGTATAAGATGTTGGAGCTAATTGACTGGAAAACCACCAACGAAATAAATCAGTATTCACTTAGATGATTATGAGAAACAAGAAATTATCGACATGAAAAAGTTAATTAAAATATACTATTGATAATATTTACCTCGAGGGAATATTAGTCTAGTTAAATCCGTTGGGAAGAAATTAGCAGGATTGATTGTGTTATTAAAAGCAATTTGATTCAATAATATTGGCGCACAATTAACATATGAAACTTTGGTTGTGAAAAATATACTAATCAAGATAAATGAACGAATCAAATTAACAATCCCTTCAGGTGAATAAAACATTTTGTCAAATTGTTAGATACTTACAATTGTAATAGAAATCAAATTAACTAATCACAGAAAAGTAAACAATTCATCTGCTTTTATATACTAACGAAAATCGTACTTTATGTCCATGAAATCGTAATCGTATTCACAATTAGTAATTAAAAGTGAACAAAAAGTGACAACAACAAAGAGCAAAAGATAAACAAGATCCGATAGAATCGATACTTTCAATGTCAGCTCACGAAAAGAGAATCAAAATTAACTAAATCTAATTAACATTGAGCCGAAATTAATCGTAAAAAATGAAAAAATTAAGATCAAGATTTACACACAAATGATTAGGTTTAGTTTGTGTTTGGTTAATTGCGATGATAATTAAGCTTTTGCAGTTTGAAGTCGAAATGTTTAAGCTGATGATTAGTGTTAAGCCGAACCAGATGTTGGCTTAAAGAAAAGTGAGCTGACATACGCCATAAGCTGAACAAGAGATGGTGTTGATGTTATTATCTAAAATTGATTTCATTTGTTATTGATAATTTAATGAAATCCAATTGGATTTAGTGTTAACGTGTTTAAACATCTTCCCTTCACACCGATGACTCGAATTACTGACCCAAAGACCATCGATAATCTCAATGGTCCAGGTGATGTTGTTTACCTTCAATGTCAGTATTTCAATGAGACTTTATGTTCAAATGGTTATTGTGGTCCTAAAAATGTAACTAAGTGCGCACAAGAATCAACTTCAAATGGATTACAGAAATACTACTGTTACTCTCTTTGGTCAAATGTTACTGATGATTCCACCAACACTTCCGATGGTTTAAAAAGTGCTGGTCGAGTGACACTTAGACACGCAGGATGTTTAACTGGTCATAATGGTGATTGTGTCAATAGTACAACATGTATAGCCTCAAGATACACAAAGGAACATTATTTCTGCTGTTGTTATGAAGATTTTTGTAACAGAAATGTTCATCTTCTTTCAAATATACCCGGTGAGCTAATTGTTTATCAAATATTTTCTTCCATCTTTTTGTCCGTGAAAAAAAAATCAGCTCTTAAAAAGAAACTGTTGAGCTGGTTGATTCTTCTCATTCACTTGCCTTTCATTTCTTAGCATTTGGAAACCCTATTGACTACACTGGTAGACAAAAATACTATACACACTTTTTGGAAAAGACTAATTTGACTATAATTAAGAAATTATTGAGCTTAATAACACAATCAATACATCAATATGATGAACTTTTTATGTAGATTAATAATCTGTAAAATTTCAGATTGAAACATTGATATTGGTAAAGTTATGTCATTTTTCAATAATAATGTCTCATTACGTGAATACTCAGATTTAATTGATTTCGGCGATAGGCCAGTATTTTCAATGAGGGGAAAGGGTAATAGTCGAACCATTCTATCGAAAAAATAAGATACTAATAGAAATTAGGTCACCTATTTGATAAGCTGATCGAAAAAAGAAAATTTCGACCATATTAACTATTAGCTTACGGTAAATCATGAAAATAATGATAGAAATTGAATAACTTTTATGAGTTTTTATAACTCTTGATGTGGTCCTCATTGATTTTGTAAAAGAATATTTGACAGAAATATTGTTTAAATTGAAAAAAAAGTCAAAAAACGTAATAGCACCTAAATTGTCCTCAGTTAAAATGTTTCGTAATCTTGTTCATTCGCATAATAATCACGCGAATTTTGGTTTCAACAAGATAATTAGAGCCCCCCTCAAAGCTGAAAACGTCTGAATTGTGCTATTAGCTTTCCACAATTAAATAAATCATATTAAATTATTAAAATTCGAAGTGTGTATAGTATTTTTGCTTGTCAGTGTAGGATTCTCATGGTGCTCAATTGAAAATCTTCAGTTTTAAACGAAAAAAAGTCAAAACATTGACCCCTTTTCGAAAATGATATTATCATTTGTGAATCAATCGAAAGAGAAAAGTTCTAAAAATATAAAAATCGAAAAAAATAATTGTAAGGGAAATGCCTCTCTCACACTTTTCTTTTCCCCTTCGGTCATCATCTTTTCCTCATCGGACTCTCTCCCTTATACAATAATTCAAAATTAGAATCATAATATTATCTCTATTCTTCACATCATAAGGCCAAAAACAAAAAATCCGACAAAATCTCACGAAAATCATAATTTTCAATGTAAATTTCCTATTAAATTGACACTTTTATGAAATTATTGGTTTTTAGCCTTATGATGTGAAGAATAGAGATAATATTATGATTCTAATTTTGAATTATTGTAAGCAACTATTAGGACTATAAGTACCTGAATTTTCATGACACTGACCTGCATGGTCTCTGAGTAACAGGCCAAATGCCGTCATGTCCATAGACTCCCATGTTAAATTCAATCTGGTGAATCTTTTTTATCTCTGGTCCGATTTTGATGCAAAGGGTCTTTAAATGATCGTAATAACATAAACAATCAATTTAATTGACAATCAAACCAAAAAAAACACCTCAATAAATTTTGGTGGGGGTGTACAAGAAATTTTGTCCAATTCTGTTTTTCCCGATTTCCAAAAAATCCTATTACTGGATTCCAGACAAAATTTTTATCAATTAAACTTATTCAGTCTTATCTAAATTACTAAAAAAAACAAAAAAATTAAATATAAATCATCCCTCTTTTCAATTATATTCAAAAAACTGGTGTACAAGAAATTTTGTCAAGCACCATATAAAAACCCTCTCTCACCTTAAACCACAGACACTCATAGCCAGGCAGTACAGTTCACTTAATTATTATTCATCTATTGTTGTCACTCTCTTCAATTTACACTTCACTCTTAGTCGTTTCCGACTTACTCCATTACCTTAGTTCCTAACTCTCACCTCAGTTTATCCTTGTACGTGCTTTCCACTCTGTTCAATTAATCTCTATTAAGTTGTCACATCTCAGTATCTATTCTCGCGTTGGCGCCAAGGTCGATCGACTCTGTGCACCTCGTTTGATGTTAATAGGCTGTACCGATCTCGATTACAGCTTTTGTTGTAAGTGGCTTTGCCTCATCCCCTGAGTCAAACTCAAAACACTTACATAATTAATTTTTTCGGACTAAGGCCATTTTCCGACCAATGAAAAGTGTACCCAAAAAATTTCGCGAAATTTCCATATTTTTAAAAATTAATTCTAATTAAATTAATAATTTTTTTCCTAGTTAAATTTGATATCATTTCATTCATTAGAGTATTATCTATTTAGTGAATAAAATAATATCTCAATATACTGACTGGTTCTCGAATTATCATCAAAAGAAAAAAATTTTCTTCAAAAGTGCCATTTCATATGCACATACCTAAGCCATGTAATGTCATCATGGTAACAATAGTTATTCAAGATGAATTCTTATTCACCATTTACCCAATAGTTAATTTAACAATTAATTGTTCTTATTGAGAAAGAGAATGTAATTAATATTTCCCCTTCTTTCTTTTTCTCTTTCATTTCTCTATCCTCTCAATTGTTAATTGTTTAATGTTGATTGTAATTAACTCTTAATTATAATCCAATGATTAATATCTTAATTGTGGAATATAATTAGCTAAATCATCCTGACTAAGATGATGTTTGATTAGCTGTGTAAAAGGACAATCTACGATTGAACAATTAATCAGTTTTTCAAATCTCTCTTAATTACTTTGATTCAACAACTAAATTAACTAATGTTCATCAAAATCACCAATTGCAACCATTATTCATATTATCAACTATTTATCCATCCCAAGGAATAAAAATAAGTCTTTTGCGTTTTAATCAATGTTAGTCAACTTATTCTGATTTTTTAAGTTGACCATCATTATTATCATGAAAAATTACATCAGAAAAACTTGTTCACAAAAGGTTCCAAGTATCCAGCTAAGCCAGTTAGCTTATCCTGCTAAACGAGAGTTTTTTCAGGATATCTTCCAAACGATAATGTTTTTCAGAAAAATAACTTCACAACTGAATTTTCCACAGAAAAATACATCAGAAAAAATTATTTAATTTTATTTCTAAGTCTAGTCGAAATCCCCTATTTAAATGGTCTTCATCCTTATGGTGAAAATCCATTGACTCATCGAAATTCATTTACTTTTTGAGAAAATTCATTGAATTTCTAAGAAAGATGTTCTTATTTTTCATTAATTCATAATAAATGCAAGTGAGAACGTTTCATATATTTTATTCTATTTCTGATAGAACACGTCTAGGTAAAAGACTTTTTGATAAACTCTAATAGAATAGAAAAATTTTATTTAAAGAATCAATCAGAATCAGAATATCATTAACCCTTAACTTGTTTCTTCTTCTTTCAAAAAGCAATATCGTTCTGTATTTCTATTTGTATCCCAATTCTACTCTATCCTCCCCCGATCATCATCTCTTTCTCATTTGTTTACATCTTTTTTTTACTAATTCAACTAATCAAGTAATCAACCAACTATAATTAAACATAATACTCGATAATTCATTGAACAAAGTGTAACTTTGTGTTGTTGGCTTGTGATGATTGTTGCTAAATCATATGAACAACCTTGAATAAGCAATGAACATTTTCAAGCTCTTTCTCTTTCTCTTTCTCTCATAAACTCATTCTCATTCTCATGATCATCATGTTAATAACATGATTTTAGTTTATTCATCTGAATATATTAGAAAAATTAGAGATAATTGAAACGAGCGAGAATGAAGAAGATGAATTTTCAAGAAAATTGTTACATTGTAATATTATTTTTACTTTTTCTCTCTCACTTTAGTTTTTTTCTCGAGCTTTTCTCAAAGTGTTTGTTTGATGTACCTAATTACTGGCAATCAATTAGAAAGCAACTCATTTATTGATGTCGATAATTTGTAACTAGATGATTATTAATATGAAAAGATCTTTGTATCATGCTATTAATTTAATAATCATTGATTGATACAATTTAGATATTCGGGTTTCGTTTCTTGGCATTATATTCAATCTCTACATCTCTTATACTTTTCTTGCATATGATCAAATCTTTACTGATTATCTTTTCCCCCTTTTTTTCACTACTATGATGATAATTATTATGATGGCGATGATACCACAGTGCATTCACCTCAACAAGCGAAAACCTCTGGATCTGAATCTGGCTCAATTGGGATCTGGTCTTACACTTTGATACCTTTAGCAATTTTAACTATTCTCATCTTTATTGTTCTGTATTACGTTTGGTTTAAACGTCAAAGGAAAGATCTGATTCGTTCAAAGCGATTTGGTGAAGATGATGAAAGCGTTTCAATCGCCAATCAAATGAATGGAATGAGTATTAACTCATGTACAGCAAATGGAACTATTAATTTAACAAGTAACCATCATCGTAATGGTAATGATTCAATAGTCGAACATGGGAATCGAAGTATTCAATTAATTGAGAAACTATCAACTGGACGATTTGGCTCTGTCTGGAAAGCGAAAATGATTTCTCCTCAAACTATCTACAAAAAGGATATCTCAGGGGAGAGAATCGTTGGCAATATTGATGGTGATGATGTAGATGGAAGTTTAATTACACCATCATCCATTACTGTTAATAATGATGAGAAAGGAAACAATCATAAGATTGTTGCAGTGAAAATATTTCCACCTCATGAAAGGTCATCATGGATAAGTGAACAACTAGTTTTTAAGACACCACAAATTGAGCATGAAAATATTTTACGTTTTCTTGGCTCTGAGAAGCGCGATGATCCCTCAAATCCCAACAATGAGCCTTTATCTGAATCTCCATCAGGATTCTGGTTGATAACAGAGTATCATGAGTTTGGTTCTCTCTGCGATTATTTAAAGAAAAATACTGTAAATATCGATCAACTTGTTAAGATAAGTATTGGCATTGCTGCGGGTTTAAATCATCTTCATTATGAAATTCCCGAAGGAAGTGAGCCAAAGGAAGGTGGAGAAGGAGTTAACAATCAAGCAAATTACAAGATGAAACCATCGATTGTACACCGAGACATTAAATCACGAAATGTTCTATTAAAAGCTGATTTAACACCTCGAATTGCTGATTTTGGTTTAGCTTTAATCTTTTATCCTAATCGTACTCCCGCTGGATTGGGACAAGTTGGTACACGTCGATACATGGCTCCTGAAGTACTTGAGGGAGCCATTAATTATACCCAAGATTCACTTTATCGTATTGATGTTTATGCTTGTGGTCTGGTCCTTTGGGAATTGGTCTCTCGTTGTCGGGGCGATGACACGCTCACCAGCGAAGATGAATCTTCTAATGGAGTGATAACAGTTAGCGAATATAAATTACCCTTTGAAGAGGAAGTGGGACAAAATCCATCTCTCGAGGATATGCAAGAAACTGTTTGTCAAGCAAAGAAAAGGCCAATAATCCAACAACAATGGTTAGATAATCCATCTTTGAAGGTGATTTGTGAAACCATCGAGGAATGTTGGGATCAAGATGCAGAGGCGAGGCTCTCTGCCAGTTGTATATTGGAAAGATTTAAGATCCTGGCAAGAAATCGAGTAAATACCAGATTCTAATTAGTTTTTCTTCATCATCATCCTCAGCTCTCGTTCTCTCACTCTTCTAGAAAAAAAACCGAGTCAAAATGTTAAAGATACTGAATATATATCTCTCTCTGTGTGTGTATATATATATAATAACAAGAGGGAAAAAAGAAGGCAAAAAATTAAAAGTAATTTAAAACTCGAAGGAAAATCAACAAGACAATTTAACTAGAGAGAGGAAGAGATGAAGATGGAAATATTTGGAGCATCTTTCACACATTCATCTCTCTATCAACGTATTTTTGCATCATTTTTCATTCATCATAATTTGATTCATCTTTTTTCTCTTCATCAACACTCAAAATAATTTTAATTACTATAATCATCACCATAACCATCAACTTGATGATTAAATTTGACCTTTTTCATCTACTAATCTCATAACTCACTCAATCAAATCTCTCATTTTCATCTCATCACAATTAAACTCTAGCAACAAATTAATCATTTGTACGATAAGAAATCAACAATTACTTCTTATATTTTGCCTTATCCTTTCAATTTCCTCTCTAAATTTCCCAGTTTTTTTTCTAATCATCGTCATTCAATTTAGACCAACTGATAATCAACATCTAATTGATTTAAAACCCAAACAAAAACTACAGATTTTTACTGCCACTTGATTACAATATTGTGTTTGTTATCCTTAATCATCTTTATCCTTTTCCAAATGATGAAATTGGCTCATTAAATTTTACCGCTGTCATGTAATCAACTGTCACTGATTGTTGGCTGGTGATGATATAACAGTCACCATTTAAGGAACGCAATAGATAATGGCTGCTATCTCATTTGATTACAGTTTAATTAACCTAATTGTTCACTAACCTCTGATCAATTTAAACTCTTACTAGTAAATCCTGAATTTCATTGATTGTAATTCATTCGAATTTCAGTTTGTTGGAACCAGACGGCTCATTGTAACCCTGCGCCTGGCGAATTTATTGGCTCGAACTGTGGAAGTGACCAGTTACTTTTCCCCTTTTATCTTGATTACTTTTGATTGGTACGTGTTGAGGTCACTCTCTGTCTTATAACATAGTCAGTCACCTTACCACTACACATATTTCACTTCGTAAACTTTTTACGATAGTTTGATCCAAGTTGTCTGCAGTGGCTAGCTTACTATACAAAGGCAAGTGTAGTCGTGCTACTCCAAGTTGCGGCCCATCGACTATCAACCTATTATTATATGAGTTGGGCTTTAATGCTCCAGTACTGAACTGATATCTCCTGTTCTTTGTATAAGGTCTACTAACGAATTAAATAAAGTAAGAACACAATTAGAAGAACTTTAACTAAGACAAATTAACTTTACTATCCAATGGTTGATTAAATGATATTGATGAATTACACAGTTTATTGATTGTAATTGTGTTCTTACTTTATTTAATTCATTTATCACTCATCAAGTAACTTTTTCACGTTACATAGGTTAGACACTGAATGTCAGTCAATCAGCTACAATTAGTCAGCCACTGTTACTGTTATTATTACCCCGTTCCTATACCTTTGTATGTTTCCATTTCCGTTTACCCATTAAACTTTATTCAACATCATTGCCTGCGTGTAACTTGTAAGATCACTATTGAGCAACAATCTCATCTCCAACATGGTTCAACGTAACCAGGTAAATCTAAACATTGATGATTATCTACTATCTTCATGATTTCATCTCAGTCTTATTAATTGTTTATTTTCCCATTTTTCATTTTATCTTCTCAGGAAGGAGAAATGATACCGCTAATGGAATAACAATAATCTTTATGATGGGAACAATTTAATTGTTGGTAAAGAATGAAGATAACATTTCCTTTCCTGATGACTTGAGACAAGTGGATTTACTAGTGAATTTTATTTCAATTATTTTCTTTTCTCCGTTAATTTTCATGTAATTTAATGATTGTTTTAGAGAAAGAAAACCAAGAGACGATTAGTCCTATTTTCCTCCTCTAATTCTTAATTTCTTTTCTTCTTTTTCTTTAATTATCTAAGCTGAGTTGATTCTTTACACGACTAGACTCTAGAACACTCTCGACTTCGGATCTTCTTTAAATTTTATCATAACCTGTCGGGATAAATTTTGAGACTTTTTGTTTTAATTTAAATATTTAGAAAACTTCTTGTGTCGATTTCGTGAAAATCATTATTATGATTTTTCATTACTTCATGAAGACTCGTGTGAAATTTTATTCATTTTGACCGAGCTATTTGACCGCAAATTAATATCTTATCTCACTGCTTTAAGACCTCCTTCATAGCAACTAATTAGCAAGAATATTCAATCAACTAATTTACCGACTTCGCGGACCAATCAGCCCGGGTTCTCAATGTATTCATGACCAGAAAAAAAATCTGAATCTACTCGACATTTTTTTGGGCTGCGCCAAGGCCTGAAATACTTTTAATCACACTTGCAGCATTTCTATGAAAAATTGCAATATCTCCCAAAGTAAAAATGATAGCAAAAAACCAATGGCATTTTTGAATTTAGCATAAAAAGTTAAGTCAGAAAAAATCAAAAACTTTTTTCGTGTATCGGCAGATTTCGATGTGCCTCTTTAGGGGAAAAAACTTAACAAAGTGATTTACATGTTATCTCTATGAGAGTCTTAACAATGGGTTGGAATTTTTCAATTTTAGTAAAGGGGAAAAAATAGAATTTTCATTTTCGATTATCTCTTTTCGGACTATCGATAAAACGCGTCAACACTGAATTAAGATCAAAGGACATCAGACCTCTTTGTCTTAGAATTAAAGTATGGAAATTTTTTCAGTTTTAATGATTTTCAAGCTTAAACATTAAAACAAATCAACACGTATTTTTTAATTTTTTGATCTGACGCCCGGATCTCGTGAAATTCGCCAAAAACGGGAAAATGGTCTGAATTGTTTTGTGATCGAATTAATATACTTATATAGCTAATCTTGATATCAAACGAAAGCTCTTGAGCTGTTCTTTAAAGAAAATCGGCATACCCTGAGGACCAAGTTTTTCGTACGGTTCCATACAGAAGCAATGTTAGTCCATCCAAAAATCGAAAAGTTTTTTGACTTAGATTGCGTCTTTTTGTGATAAATAGGTTACACCTTGGTAGAGTCTTAACAATGGGTTAGATAGTAGATTCAATTTTAGTAAAGGGGAAAAAAATGTAATTTTTGTTTTCGATTATCTCTTTTCGGACTATCGATAAAAATGCGTCAACAATGAATTAAGATCAAATTTTCAAGCGAATTCTGAAAAATCTATTTTTATCAAAATCTGAGAATCCACTGACAAGATATTAAAAAATATCAAAAAAAAAATATTTTGAAAAATTTTAATTTCAGGTCAATTTGATCTAATATACAGGGCATTTCACCAAGTTTCCAACAAGTTTTTCTCGAATAACTTTTTTGTTTTTGAGTGTTCAGACCCAAGACTCGAGTTATGATAGTTTAGGCCATACTAAATTGTCATACTAAAATATCAAGGTCATTCCGGTCATTTTGTTAGGATACGTTATCAAGGTCATTTGATGGTCACAATCAATTCAAATTAGAAAAATTAACATGTACCTAAATCACAAAGATTTCACTACTCTCATTCTCATCCGCCTCAAAAACGCTATATCTCAGCAACTAAAAATGTCCAAAAGTTGTAAACTCGTAAGGAGCCTCATGATTGCTATTTAATTAGATTGTATTTTGTAGTTAAAATTAGAAAGGTTTCAATTTGATAGTGTAAGTTGAACTTTTCGAATAATTGGACTCGTTTTCGATAATTCGAACAAAACGTAAAATTTCAGCAAAAAACTTTTTTTTATGATTTCGAAAGGGCCTAGCACATTCGATTTTTGATCGATTTTTTTTCTAAAATCATAATTAAGATCAGCAAGATCCACCTAATAGATTTTAATAATTAAAACAATTTAAATCATAAATATAAAAAATTAGTGAGCGATCATAACGAAAAAGTCCAAAAATTTTCCCAACAAATCAAGGGGGAGTATTACTTTTTCCAATTTTTTTCATTTGTGAAAATTGACTTTTTTCACTTTTTTTAAAACAATCACCAAATTAGTTGATTAATCATGTTTTTCTAATTAAGATATAATTTCTACTAGTTTCTTGCTAATTTAAGATAGTGATGAAAAAAATTATTCCATAATCCAAGTTTGAATGAATAATTCAAAATCATTGACAGTGCACCACGATTTATGTCAATTTACAAAATCACTGCTTATTTCATTCAAATTGACGGATCTCCGTTATTCGAACTGATATCGACATCATAACTTCAAAGATGGAATGGTTTTTTGTTTTTCTTTTCAAAAAAAACTTCAAATGACTTCAATGAACTTGAAACTTTTTATACGAAGTACTTCAGTCCCGATATGTATCTATACGAGATTTGATCTTTTTAAACTCATTGGTTCTGGACTTATAACTAAAAATCTGCGTAAAATGAAGTTGAATAGCCCTGTATAATAGTCATTGGTAGTAGTTTAAGAACAAACGGCTTTTTGGGTCTACCTTTTTGGTGAAAGGGTCAATTTTATTTTTTGTATAGTCCCTAAATTTTTCAAGATTATGCATTAGTATTTTGGTGATTTTTTTCTCTTGAGACATTTTTAAGGCCAAAAAAACGAAATAAATGATAAATCGAACCTTAAGTTCGTATTTTTACAAAATGACCTCAAAGTAAAATAGTAAAATTATTAAGAAAGGTTAATTAAGTGATAATTAATCACTTTGGACTTTTAGAAATGCCTAGTAAATGTATTTCTCAAGTTATTTGAAGTTCACGATGCGTTTCAATAGTTGCGAAATTCGAAAATTGGCCTCAATTGATAATAGAATGTGTCTGGACTCAAGAAATTTATTGTCAATAAATGAAAAAGGTGAGCGTTTAAGGTGGCACACTTGAAAAATTCTGTGATTATTTTTTGATAGATTTTGAGGCCAAAACAGTGACGATGTTAATTACATATAATAAATATACATTATAATCAATTGATTGTCCTTAAACTTTTGCCGAGGACTGTATGATTATCATGGAATCTTACGTTCTTAACCTAATGGTGGTAAGAATAGTGATGATAATAATATTCTATTAATAATTTATTGTAAGCGACTAAAAAGCAAATAATTACATGAATTTTCATGATATTGACCTGAACCGTCTCTGAGTAACAGGCCAAAACCCGTCATTGCGCATAGAGCCCCGTGTTAAATTCAACCGGATAGAACTTTTTTATTTCTTGTCCGATTTTGATCAAAATGATCTTAAATTGATTGTAAATATACAAACAATTAATACAGGGCGTAACAACCAAATATCCCTACTTTTGGCTCCTTATTGCTTGTAGGCCATTTTTCGTGTTGGATTTTTTTCTTCGCGGTTCTACAGAGAAAATGTGAAAATTTTGTTACGTTTTTGTTTGAAACTTTTCTGTGGAGCCGTTGATGACCAGTGGCCTCCCAAAGTCGGAAAAGTGGTACATTTCGATGCGAAAATTTTTTCTGAAAACTTTTTCCTGCCATTTAAAAGGTAGGGATTAATCCCTATGCCTTTCATAGGAAATTTTTGGACTTTTTTTGATTGTCCTGAAATTAAGTCCTACTAAAAAGCCGATGCCAAAAATGGTATTGAAATCAAAAGAACCTCTCTCGTTAGTCATTAAATAAGTTTATCATGAGGTTAATTTATCGTCCGAATGCGAACAAATAGCATTAATTCCAGACCAATGAATGCATGCCAAAGAATTTTTTTAACTTCAACTTAGTTTTTGGATGGGTCTGAATTTTAGTTTCAAACTTTTCAAAGAGTAAGATAGACAGGCCGTAACAACCAACTATTAATATTTCCACTCTTGAGGGCCGATTTCTCGAAAACTATTTGTTCAATTTTCAATCTAATGCCACCGATCGGTAGAAAAATGTGTAAGTTTTGTTTGGCGTTATTAAGAATATGACCTCAGCTTAAAATTCGAACGATGGCCTTTCAAAGTGGTACATTTGGATGCAAAGAATTTCGCGGTAAATTTTTTCCGGTCATTCAAAAGTCCAAATTTTATTGTGTACTGTGTTTTATTGATTTTCCAGCGATTTACCGTACTTACCTGCAGAAGACTCACTTTGATTGTAATCAAGTTTTTCTCTATTTTAATCTTATTAAAAATTTTTGATATTTTGGAATTTTATGTAAAAAATATCAATTATTATGATGGTAGCAAAAAAAATTAAAAAAGTTTCAATTTTTAAGTTAATTGTTGATTTAGACTAATTTACTCACCTTTCACCATGTTAAATCTCCACAGGTAAAGCTACGGTTTTAAACGATTAAAAACGGTTTTTACAATGAGAGAAAAGGTAAATTTAATTATTACTCATCAATGGTTAATAAAGGGTGTTAAGTTTAAAAAGTATAAATTATCTTACCTAAAACTGTGATAAGAAAATGAAAAATGTCCACAATTGTATTAAATTGTCATCTTCTTATCACAGTTTTAGGTAAGATAATTTATACTTTTTAAACTTAACACCCTTTAATTTAATTCTAATTATTATTAACTATCATCTACTTATATTCTATCAATTTACAAAGAAAAAATATTAAAATTGTTTTAATTGTGTTTTACTTATTGTCCCAAATATTGTGAAACGCAGTGTAGCTATTTAACATATCAATATGCAACTCGAGATTTAGATAATAGATCAGACAAAAATGAAACGTAAAAATCTTCATTTTTTCACTCACAGTGTGCTGATTTTCCATAAAGAGCCGATTTTCATGAAGTTCTTGATTTAGAATCAATTTTCATATAAAAATCTCCACAGACAATGTCTCTTCAATGGTAAATGGTTTTTTGATTAAGGCTCGTATTCACCAACCGAGATCTAGCTTAACTCTGAGATTAAATCAGCTGAGTTAAACTTAACTGTTTCACCAATTAAAATTAAAATTTGATTTG